CCTGGCCTATTTCCTCACCTACGTGGCCTCCTTCCACCTCGCCTACCTGTTCGCCGTCCGGATCCACGGCGGGCTGGGCTTCCTCGGGGGAGTCCTGGTGGCCCTCAAGCAGACGATGGGGGACAGCACCGTCCTGAAGGTGCCCCAGGTCAGAATGAAGGCCGTCCCCATGCTCCTGCTCCTGCTCCTGGCTTTGCTGCGGCTCGCTGCCCTCGTCGAGAGCAGCGTGTTGGCCTCCTACGGCTTCGGGCTCCTCTCCAGCTGGGTCTATCTCCGTTTCTACCAGCGGCACAGTAGAGGCCGCGGAGACATGTCCGACCACTTCGCCTTCGCCACTTTCTTCCCCGAGATCCTGCAGCCCGTGGTGGGTCTGGTGGCCAACCTGGTGCACAGCATCCTGGTGAAAGTGAAGATCTGCCGCAAGACCGTCAAACGCTACGACGTGGGTGCCCCGTCCTCCATCACCATCAGCCTGCCAGGGACTGACCCCCAGGACGCCGAGCGGAGAAGGTACCCCCTCCACGGGGATCGTGTTACGGGGCAGCCAGGGTCAGGTTTAAAGTCCAAATGAGGAGGAGGGGGGAGATGCAGGGTGCTGAGTGGCTGGGGGGTGCCTTCTTCAGGGGGTGTGCTCAGGGCTGCCCTCCTGGCCACAGAGGTAGTGGGGAGCATTTCAGGGGGGCTGATGGAATATTGTCCTGCTCTTCTAAACATGTTGAAAGTGCAGGGGAGGAAGGAGGAGATCCTGAGGAAGGGGCAGGTGCAGTTTGGGGTCAGGGATCCCTACAGAAGGGGGATGGCAGGTGCCTGGTGAGGTGACAGCCCCTGTGCCTGTCATCATGGGGCCGGGGAAGGTGCTGAGTCAGCCCCACATGCCCAGCATTGGCCTTCCTGACACCTGGCAGGAAAGTTTGGAGAAGGTGTTTGTGCTCTGCCTTCCCTGCCCTGTTTTACACCCCTCTTCCTCCATTCCCGGGGCAGCCCCTGTGCCATCTGACAGCGCCCGAGTGCACCACGTGCCACCAGAACTTGGTGTACGTAGTGTAGGAGTATGAGTGGGTTTCTGTGGAGCAGTCCCAGGCACTCTGGGTCTTCTCTAACGTTGCTTAATCCACCTTCTCCTGCTGGGAAGAAGCCCGGGGATGGGGCCCCGTGCGGCAGAGCTGCCAATCCCTGCAGCTAACCCACCCATCTGCCCTCGCCCCACAGGCAGCTGGCCCTGAAGGCTCTGAACGAGCGGCTGAAGCGCGTGGAGGACCAGTCGGCCTGGCCGAGCATGGAGGACGACGACGAGGAGGCAGCAGTGGGGGCCAAGGCCGACAGCCCCCTGCTGCCTGACACCGGTGTGGCTGGGCCGGGCGGCAGCCAGGATTCCAGCCTCATCACTTTCCAGGATGCCCCATCCCAGCTGTGACCGGCTGCCCCCCTTCCCGCCCCTTCTCCGTCAGACAGCTGCTAACCCCTCCCATGTAGCCCCACACAGCCGGGACCCTCGGGGGCTCCTCCCGCGGCAGAGGCAGGAGGGGTGCCTCATCCCAGCGCTTGGCTGCCGCTCGCGGCCCACCGGCGGGGGCCCCGGCGACGC